AAAGGCCTCAGAGCTCAGGAGCATTTTAGCATTTTACCAACTCTTAGCCGCCTTTTCTTCTGGACTCTTCAGCCCTTTTCTCCAGAGTCTTCTACTATTTGCCCTCTCCGTGCTCATCACGTAACAACAAGAGCAGTGGCAGCACAGCACGGTGCTCACCCCTCTGAGGGCGGAGACTCCAAACCCTTATTTTACGGATGAGAAAACAGTCTCAGAGAAGTTAGGTAACTTGCTGAAGGTCACATAGCATAGGAAATGCTAGAGCTGAGGCTCAAACCTTGGTGTTTTGATGGTAACATCTTTACTTGTTTCATCTTTTGCTGTCAGCCAAATAAATATCTTGTAATGAGAATCTGGAAAAATCCCAACATAAAGTACTGATGTCCTGGGGCTTAGAAGCTTTTTTGTTTTTGTTTTAAAGCAGGGTAATGTTTTATTTTGTAAACTGGGTGTTGGGTACAGAGGCATTGTTTTATTGTTACTATTTATACATACTTTATAAACATTCTTTTTATGACTAAAAAATACTTTAAAAAATTGTAGAGAAGAGGGGCGCCTGGGTGGCTCAGTCATTAAGTGTCTGCCTTCGGCTCAGGTCGTGATCCTGGAGTCCCGGGATCGAGCCCCGCATCGGGCTCCCTGCTCAGCGGAGAGCCTGCTTCTCCCTCTCCCTCTCCCACTCCCCCTGCTTGTGTTCCCTCTCTCACTGTGTCTTTCTCTGTCAAATAAATAAATAAAATCTTTAAAAAAAAAAAAAAAGATTGTAGAGAAGAACAATTATTGTATTTATGACATACATTTTTACTAATGCAAGTCTAGCAATAAAAAATACAAAGTAAAAAGCCCCATACATTTTTACCACCTAGAAACACATATTAAGTGATAATCATTCCAAAGTATTCTTTATATACAGAAAGGAGAGATAGAAGGGAAATTATTAGTATTCATTTAGTTAACTACTGTGGGTAACTGCCCTGAATCTTAGTGGCTTATAACAACAAAACCCAGTTATTTACTCAGGCCTAGAAGTTCTTTAAAGTTGGTAAAAGATTTGGTTCCCCAGCCAGTTTCAGAACTGCCCCCAAACATAGAGGAGTCTTTTAGTTCTCTGATTCCAGTGGCCTCTAGGCAAGCAAACCAGCTGTTGCCTCATATATATACATCAGTAACTACAGTAGTGTGGTTTCATTCCTTAAGACGTGTGGTTCCATGTGGCTGGCACATATAGGCAGTTAATGAAGACTCATGAACAAATGAATTAAAGTAGTGGTGCCTTTGTGGAGCTGGATGCTTGATACCAATATCTCTTTTTGCCTGGCTTAGGTATTTGGCTCGAGTAGGGGAGCTTGAAGCAACTGACACTGAAGACCTGACTCTAAATTATGGCCTTGTTGTGGACTGTGGCAGCAGTGGCTCCCGGATTTTTGTTTATTTCTGGCCAAGACATAATGGCAACCCCCATGATTTGCTGGACATCAAACAGATGAGAGACCGCAACAGCCAACCAGTCGTTAAAAAAATCAAGCCAGGTACTAATCAGATTATATTTTGTTGTCAATCTCTTTTTATCTGTTGCAGGCATGCGAGAGGAGAGAAGAGGGAGAAGGAAAGCTACCCCCCATTTTTTCCTTGAGAGTCTGGATAATGGAAGGGATATCTCATTCGTTGCTGCTCCCATCCTCGCAAATAAATAAGCGTTTAGGACCTTAAGCAGAACTTTATGGAGAATCAGTCTTCTGAGTCAATGTGATCTGCTTTTTAAAGTGTTTTGTCTTACTTAAGGAATCTCTGCAATGGCAGACACCCCAGAACATGCCAGTGATTACCTTCGTCCTCTGCTGAGCTTTGCTGCTGCCCATGTGCCTGTGAAGAAGCACAAGGAGACACCCCTTTACATCCTATGCACAGCAGGCATGCGGCTTCTCCCTGAGAGGTGAGACGCAGGGCCTGAAAAACACGGGCAAATGGGTGGCACGAGAGTTGCAAGACTGACTGTATGCATTGTTCTCTGTAGTTCCCTGGTCTGAAGGTGGGCTGTGGGCATACCACACAGAGTTGACAGGTGGCACTAAAGGACTCCTTGCTCAAAAGAGAGCAGAGCCACCCCCGCACGTCATTACTTCACAATCCGTTGTTCAGAGCTTCATGTCGTTTGTTTCTTTGGGATCGATATCTATGTGAGATGGCTGTAATGATTGTTAGTTCTGATTGAGAAGCAATGGTGATGGTGATACATCTGGAACTCTAGACGGAGAGCATAGTCAGAAGTGTCGTAGGAGGTTCATCCGAGTGACCAGGTACCTGGAGGCCAGTAGGAAAGGCTCTGGTAGGAATGCTGCTCTGTCTGTCACTGCCTGGCTCCCTGGTGATAGTTGGTGCTGCTTGCCAAGCTCAGTCTCCATTGCTTTAGACCAGTTTTTTCAATCCCAACCAGTCCAGTGTCCACCTGACCTTGGTAGTTTAGCCCAGTATTTTGCCACCTGATCCCTCTTCCTTCTCTGGAAGAAGAGGAGGAGGAAGAGGCAGTGGCTATATGTAGGTCACACCCCTTCTTGTTTGTGATGTTTCCCCTTTAATACCTCCCTGACCCCTCCACACTTATTATGGTCATGGGGTGGCAGTGAGCTCCCTTAACCTTAGAATTCGTCCTTCTGGAATGTTCAAAGTCTCATAGGCATCAGGTATTTTTTATTAGCTTAAATGTTTTTTCTTGGTAAACAGTGACCTTTCCCAGAAAGTTTTATTTTGTATCTTGGCCAGCAACAACAAAAACCTCAGCCATGCGTGTAGGGCTTATGCTACTTACGCCAGATGTGCTGGATAACATATGTCCACAGTTCTTTCAGTGGACTTCTTTCCTTCTGTTTAAACACATGGTTACTGGTTTACTATCTAGGCTACTGTTGAGAAGGAGATTATTTTATATAGCCATTTGTGGAAACGAGAGATCTTCTAGCCCCTTATTTTTCCATATATCTTGACCTTTAAAATTTTTTTCTTTTGTTTTTATTTTTAAAACCAAATTTTAAAATATTATAGCTGCATTAAAGGAATCTTAAAGGTAAAAAAAAAAAACAAAACAAAAACCCCAAACACATATTCCTACTGCCCTATCATCTTATCACGTTCCCTTCTCTCTGTACATCTACATGTAGTTTCTACAAAGTTGTAACCATACTGCACATGCAATTTAGGATTTTTAGTTTTCACATAAGTAATATTCACATAGTTCAAAATTTAGAAATCCTGGGAAGAGTATAGGTGACAAAGGAGTGCCACATCACAGGTCTGTGAGTGGTCTGCGGTCGGCACCAAGGAAGGGGGAGGATGGCCAGAGAAAAAGCTGACTCAGAAGTCAAAAAGACAGAGCCGACCAGGAGGTTGATGGTTTGGCCACGTTTTGTGGGTCTGGAGCAAAAGAGGATTGTCTCATCTCCTGATGCCGCTCAGCATTCACTTTGTCAAAGAAGTTTCCATCCGGACAAAACCTACTATGTAGTTCCATTCCATTTGTCTAAGATGTTCACTGTCTGCATGGAAGCTCTGAATATTAATATTTCTTTTATCTTAAGAATTTGTGAAGAGCTTGCCTTTTAACTTGTCTTCTGATCACCTCTTCTAATAATGCCTGGATCTCTCCTGGGCTTATGAAATCATTGTTCCCAATTGAGGCAGCCGTAGTTGTTGACATAAATGCAACCATCACTGTAAGAACCTGTTTTGTATAATTAATGCTTTGCTAATTTATTAGCATTTGTGAGCAATATTCAAAATGGGTTCAGATCACCTGGACTATATTTTGAAATGTGTTAGTCCTAGGTTTTATTCTTTGCCAAAGGCCTGAACTAACAATTTTTTTTACCTCATTTTCATTTTGTAATGGAAATATCCTTAAAAAATTACAAAGATAGTACAAGGTGATATATAAGGGAAGAAAAAACTTTTGTTATGGGAAGTTTCAAACATCAAAAAAAAATAGATCATGATGAATCCTTATTTTCTTACCACCCAGCTTCAGTAGTTGCCAACATTTTGCCACTAAAAGTTTTTTTAAATAAGAAACAATAATTGAATTTTAGAGAATCCCGTGCAGTACATGAAGAACTTTTTTGTTTTATTGTTTAATATAAATTGGGATCATATTATATGTACTGTTTCATAACCTATTAAAACTCAGAATATAGGGCGCCTGGGTGGCTCAGTTGGTTAGGCGACTGCCTTCGGCTCAGGTCATGATCCTGGAGTCCCGGGAT